ATAACATACTATTGGCATTGTCGATCTGTTCTATGAGCTATAGAGCATGAAACAAAATTCAGTCATCTCTCATTCGAACCGAAGGGAGGGACAGAAGGACATACCATCTCCAGATTATCCAACGCATCAACCCTATCGTCCTCGCTCCTACTTTCATCCATGGCGATACTCAAAGCTTCCTTCATCAGCTCTGCATCGCTCTTTCCTAGCAGCATATCAATAATCTCTGGATTCAGGTCTTGTCGTTGGACAGGTGGACGTGAATTTGAACCGTCCCCGTTCTGAGATTGAGGTGTAGAGTTCTCGATACCCCATCGGAGGAGAGATTGCATCTTGTGAGTATTTTGCTGTGTGTCGTGCAAGTTATTTTTTGAAGTTATCTGAAGGGTGATGGGGAAGAAAGGAGATTTTTGAGCTTTGTTTGTATTGAACGATGCGATAACCAGAGGGGTCGAGAAAGAGAAAGAAACGCGTCGATGTTTCGAGAATGATGAACGTTATCAGAGAAAATCTATATGGTGGCTATACGATAAGATTAAAATCAGTACTCAGTCTCGAAGTCCATTTTCCCTCCTAGTAAACCGATCCAAAACATCAACCATATCCTTCCTCCTTTCCTTCGTATCAAATACCATCGCATGGTCTAAATCTGGATTATATATTACCTCTAGATCTATAGTTGGTTTGTCCGTTACCGAGTTTGACGCCGAGCTTGACGACCACAGATGCTTCACCTCGTCTTCACCCGTCAAATATCGCCTCACCAGCGGGGCAGGAACGATCTGGTCTTTGCCTGAGAGCACGACAGCAAACTTGATTCTTTCATCCAGATCCTCCTTCCACAGAATATTCTCCGTCCAGAAGAAACACCTCCCAAGTGTAAACGCGATATCTGGGTCCCTGGACGCGAAATACCACAGCTGCCATTCGTTCGCTCGTTTGGGTACGCGGTAGAGGAAGTTGAATGCGACGTCGGGGAGGTGGAGGAGGAATGGGATTGGGTCGATTAGGAGGTGGGAGGTGAATGTTGGTTTGGGTGGATGAAGCTCGTTTGCGGGTGGCTGGGATGCGGAAGGGTGAATGTTGGTGGCCTTGTTTCTATGCCTAAGAGTTTCTCTATCTGGATCCCTTTCTTTGTCTACATTTCCGTCTAATCCATCTTTTTCCTGTTCTCTTTCGTCTCCTCTTTGAGTCTGACCACCGTCTCGGTCACGAATAACATGCGCAGCGATAACCGTTCCATAGGAGTGCGCAGCCAAGACCGCGTGGGACATACCTAACGAATGCATCGTCCTGTACAGTGCATCGAGCATGTCTCGTCTAGGGGGCATAGCTGGAGTCAGTGGATCCGAGGTTGATGAGGAGCAGATGTGCATGGATATAGGAAGAAGCTCTACGAGGAGGATGCCTTGGTTGGGATCGAGCCGGACGAGGTCTTGGATAAAAGCAGTGTACGGGTGGAGACCGATCTATTAAGAGTGGGTATTGAGATAAAGCAGAAAGTTGATCCTGAGAAGAACCTACCCCAATACCATGTATGAACACTATTGGATCTCTATCAGATGTTCTATGCGGTCGATACCAGTACGAGAAGTATTCCGTCGCAGATGGGGAAGGTTGCGCAAACACGCCAAAGAAACGGGGAGGAAAGATACCAGGACTGATAATGTTTCGCAAACGCAAAGGCAGTTGGTTCGAAGGGGCGTATTGACGAAATCCTAGGGAGTAGAGCTTGACTGAGGTGATAAAGTCCACGAGTGCGACAATCTTGAAGGTTCAATGAGATATTGGCATTTAAGGAGCGCAATAAGCGTGAGTAGATACTACTTGCCATATACCACACCAACGGCCTATGCACCATCTTAACCTCATCCAACGTCAATCTCAATGCCTTTGTCTTTATTTCCTTTCCTGCTTCGACTTTCCTACCTAGAATCTCCTCGACGCGCGCGACATACGCGTTAATCTCGTCTTTCCACGAATCTTCTACATGAGGATGAGAGGGATCACAGGAAAATAAAGCCCAAAGGATCCACTCGATGAGGTTCTCGCGTTTGAGGACTGGAGAGGAGAACCAGCCGAGAGGGTATGTCGAGGTGAGAGCGGATGGAGCTGAGGATGTAGAGGAGAAGGATATTTGCTGAGAGCAACGAAGGAATAAGGCATGACGTTGTTCGGGAGTCAATGGAGGAGCAGTGTATGTGGCCTTGAATTATAGAGAGATAAGTTATCGGACTTGATAAACATCGGGAGCACTCTCACCTTTTGCAGCACTCCCTTCCTCGGTATATAGACAAGCAGATAGAAGGAGACTTCGAGGAGCGCGATAGGAAAAATCCATGGGTGAGCAAGGTGGTTTATAGCGAGAGATCTAGTGTAGAGGCATAGGAAGAGATAGAGAAAACTAGCGGGAGCAACGAGGCGGAGGAGAGCAATTGAGATGAGGATAAAGATGTGTTCGTGGAGAGTACGACCGAGCATATCGTTGAGGTTGGGGTTGTTAGATAGTGATGGTCATGGCCATAGAGCAAGCGCACGCCGCAAAGCATGTGTTTTTTTGAAATTGGACGTGTAAGCGCGCGCTTATCCCAAATTGGAAGTTGGCCATCGACTATGCTTCAAAATTACCTTTCTCCATTAGAAACCAGCTCTGACGAGGTTTGTCTGTTGTACTCGTCGCTCTCACTCAGTGATGGCTTATAGTGTAGGATCCAAGTCTCAAACTCACCGCGCTTGTAACATCTGCTGTAAACGACGAAGACCCAGAGTTTTCCTTGTCGTCTATCGTGGAATATCTAGAAGGTAGCGGTGAAGATGCGTCTGGCTATTTGGTCTGTACACGCGTATGCTCTACAATTCAAGACTCTGATTTTGAAGTCTCGTCTCAGGACGCTCTCAGTCTCTTGACTCTCCTCCTTCCATCCCCAGACCCTGGGTCAGACCGATTGCTGGATCTGATCCAAGAGAAATGCAGTTCAAAGGAAACCATGATCGCAAGTGCGGAAAACTTGGAAAGGATACATCGGTTGGTCGTGCTAGATGAAGAACAAGAAGAATCTTCAGACGACCCCTCGGGCGAAGCTGGGGAACCAACAGGGAGAAAGGAAGTTCCTATCAGCATCCAAGTCCTTCGTCTAGTACGAACGTTCTCTGGTCCGTCGTGATCCGAAATCACTCCTAAGGTAACCAATCAAACTGATTCCGTAGTAATATCCAAGATTCCCTTCCGCCGCAAGTCAGCATCCGACACCATCCAGTCTTTCATTCCTGAACTACAATCGACAATACACATCCTTGGTAGTAGAACGAGGTTCTCGAAATCCACAGGGAGGGAAGTACTTTGGCATTGTGCAGCTTTAGTTGATACCATCATGGATTGGGTGGAACAAAAGGAGGGTGTAAAGGGAGAGGAAATTGAGGCGTGCAAGGTACGTCAGGTTTCTGTTCTTTGTGAATATTTTCCAAAATGATCTACAGGATATTCTTCGCCCCTTCATCTCGACAATCATCGACTCTTTAGCATACTGCATCCAAGCATCTCTCGCCAAACGCGCGTTCAAGCAATGTTTTCCTAGGTTGGGCTTGAGGGAAACGTTGGACGAGGGATGGGAGAGAGGCAACGACAGTATCCAGAAAGCTACTGTACCTATCATTTCCTCATTTTCAATCCCAACCCCACTGATTCAAGTCTAGTCATGTTATACACGCGTAGGAGGCTATCTATCAACCCGTAGACCATCCGAAACCACGTTCATCCTCACCGCACATAGTCTACTCCCACAAAACACACCCCCAAGACTATCCACCTATTTCCCCTTCATTATCGGATCCATCCAAGCCAACACCCTCCTCGACGAATCCCTTGCCTTTCTCCTCATCTCCTTCTCTCCTTCGCCTACACCACACCACAACGTCATCCACCCCGAATCCCAACTCATCCCTCTCCTCACCGTTCTCCCCTCTCTTTCATCTGCCCACCCCGACCCGTTCATCCGACACTGCACGTTCCGCATCTTGGGACTCGCGCTGCACGTCGCTCCGGGTCCGTTGCAGATGCAAGCTCTGAAAGACCTCCTCGGGGATACATCAGACCAGGCTCAGCAGATGAGAGTCGCTGCGGTATCGCTCGTTAAAGACGCTATTCTGAGCGCGTTGGCCGAGGTGGAATCTTCAACTTCAAAGACGGGGTCTGGGGGCATAAATATACTTGCTTCGCCGCGATTTCTACAGACGTTTGCTCCGGTGTTGTTCGTAGTGAATCCGCCTGAATTGTTCAGTGTTTCAGAGGGAAAACAGGCCCCGACGGTTCGAGAGCTCGAGGAGGATAGGATGAACACTGAGTTGTTGAGACTCGCGGAGGTGCTTTCGTTGTACTATGTGTTGGTGATGAGGGACACGAAGAATCGCGTAAGGATTGGAGTTTTCTTTTTCTTTTGGTCTTTCGTCCATTCATGACGATATTATCCTCCTCCAGACTGGCATCCGAGATCGTGATAACCGAGCGAACATCGAGCGGATCCTACTCGCACCTATGCGGGCTGCAATAGCAAAGTGGATCGAGGCGGTCGAGGAGGAGTTGAGTAAGAAGGAATTGGTGAAGGAAGAGGAAAGATCAGCGGAAGCGGAAGGTTTGCAGGGAACAAAGCAGAAGGGGGAAGCTGGAGTTGGACCTAGAGCTGGAAGTAGTAACACTTACCCTTCTCTTCCACATTCACATCCTCATAGTCATTCTCGAGGTGGTTCTCATGATAGTATACACTCACATGCGCTCGTTCCGTTGATTTCGTTACAGATGGGGCTGGAGAGGATTGATAGTATGTGGGCGAGAATCTGATTGGGTTAACGAGGAGGATCGGTGTTTCATGGTAGGTTATATTTAGGTTTACAAAAACATTGTACGCTAGTTAGCTAGGAGAATGAATTTAACTTGAACTTAATGAGAAATTCCTAAGGATAGCATCGAATCCGACTCAAAAAAAACGCAGAGGATTCCGCCACATCGACGCCAGCAGGATTCGAACCTGCGCCCTCAAAGAGGAACAGATTGGAAATTTTATAAAGGTGTTATTCTAATCTGTCGCCGTAACCACTTGGCTATAGCGCCACATAGTGAAGTTTTTGGAAGATAGTTTGATAATGAAATTCCTCTACCTTTACTCATTTGTATTGACTCTCATAATGGCCAGAATCGCTTTCAAAAACAAAGGCTTTGAGTCGTTGGAATGCTACGAGTCAGACTTCGAGCTTCAGGCTCAATGCCAGTCCAGTGTCACTGGCTTTGAGCAATGCTGAACATCTAAATGAACGTTGAACTTCATGACATGCTGAGTTGCAATCTGTTGATAGTAAAGTAGTACGGTAGAGCGGTGTGCTAGAGCAGTGACGTAATGGGCGCTTTTCTTTTCTTTTTTTTTTGATTTTCCGCAAACTTATGAAAACTGCTGTAAATAAGCTGCAGCAATGTCCAGAGCAAAGTATGTAGAGAATTGACTGTGGAATGTTTGCAAAAAAAGGCTTGAGGAGAGGTAAGTACAGACAGCTATGCAAGATGCTAACAAGACCATGACTCTCCTCCTTCTTGCCCATTAGACAGAGCTGGTCAAGCAACACATTATCGACTCAACGGACTAGGTATTCCCCCACTACTCTTGATCGCCGTGAACGTAACCACCCCTCCTCCTCCTCCAACCCCAGGACTAACACTCCCCCCAGGCGCCCTACCCACCGGTATCGCAGGAGGCTTCCTCCTCTTCGTCTGCACCGGCGGCGGCGGAGCACTCCTCCGCTCCTTCTTCTGCTGACCAAAATGAGACTCGGATCCCTTCGTAGACGGACCGTTCAGAGTCATCCCGGATAGAGAGGACAGGACCAGGGTGGAGTTCAAGGACTCTCCTAGCCCGCCGTGTTCACTGTGATGGTGGTGGTGGTGGTTGTGGTTATGGGCAGAGTTGGGATCGGCGAACGCGCCTTCGACGTGTGCGCTGTTGGCTGTGCCTTGGCGTCTGGGTTGACGGGGGACGGGGCCGGAGTGAGTAGAAGGAGCCAGCGGTGGTGGTGATTTCAGACTAGATGTAGAAGGGGTCGGAGAGACGATGTTGATTGGTGGCGGTGGTGGATGAGGACGGGAATGTGAGGATGATGGAGTATAGGGTGCAGCAGCTGATGCAACTCCATGCAAGCTATTCCCACTATTGGCACTGCTGAAACTGGTAGTACTCGCTGTACTTCCCCTCCGTACTGTCTCATAGAATAATGGAGAACGAGGCGAATGAGGAAGGGGCTGCATAGTAGGCATTTCTTCGTGCGAGTGAGCATTATGTTCGTTGTTAGCACTAACGCTCCCACTTCGATTTTTCTTGAGTTCCATGCTTTTGCTTGATTTCAGAGTCCGGGGCGCGGAAGCAGGATGGGACGAAATGGCGTGGGATGTTGTAGCAGCGCTGGTAGATGTAGACGTTCCGACACCAAGATGAGAACGTGTTCCGTTTGCTTTGTTCGTCGTATGAGTATGATTGTGTTGGGCTGGTGCGTCACCTGCAGCATTCCAACTGATCTCACTATCCTTATCCTCTTCGCCGTTCATGCCTTGTGCTTCTTTGATCTGTTTCTGTCTGACGAGACCTACACACCATTCCCCTCCCAGACATCTTTCCACCAATCTTTTCGTTGTCGGGTTCACATCACGGACGTTGGAAGTGCGAATGAGAGATTCGAGCATGTATAGAATTTGTGGGCGTTTGTAAGGAACGGTGCGGAGTTGGGTCTTCGTTAGTAGGGGGTGAAGGACACGAAGGTAAGTGTGTCGGAGCTGCGAATTATTATGATTAGAAAGTTAGTGGTATGAAAATATCAGGAAACCGTACTGATTCACTGTCGTCGTCCAAGTCGGCCAGTTCACGTAAGAAAACGTCAACGAGGACACATAAATCGTTGGTATAAAAGTATTCTTCTGTGCCTTTATTCGTGAAGAGAAGATACAGTAGCTTGAGCACGAGGAGTTGCATGCACATGTCTTCTGGTGTGCGCTCTACGGCAAAGTTTGGTCAACTTACAAGAAAAGAGGCGATAGATACTTACGAGCACGGTTGAGCATGAAGATCATGTTCTCACCGAAAGTCTGAGTTGACCCCAGCCTCCTCATGAGTACTCTCAAAACTCGATTATCCGCTTCACTTGTAGAAGTCGGAGTGTGATGCCGATTTGAGTTATTGCCTTCATTTCCGATAGACGCCACCATGAACTGTTCATTTAGTGCCACAACGAGCTTGATAACAGAATAGTTGAACGTGTCGTCCTGCATGTGCCTTGTTTGTTCCACCAAATCGAACAAGTAATCCAGAAAGGCGTCGTCAAAGATGCGTAGATCCTGGATAGACAGTTTCTGAACCCTACACATCTCGTAGAGTAGACGAACGCCCAAGCTCCGTAGTTTCGCTTCAATTGGCACCGGGACATTTGCTCCACTGAATCCAGACCCGGATCCAACACCGGCAGAGTTTCCAAAATACGTATCCTCAACGTCTGGGTCGATCTCCACTAGGATATGATCCATGAGGAGCGGGATAAGAGGTTGCCAGCGTCTATGTGACCGAAAGAAATCTGAGCGTCGTCGGCCGAAACTGAGTAGGACGTGAAAACAGATGAACTGAAAGTGGGGATTGGTGTTGGACTGGGCCTCTGATGTGACGATGTCGGTCATGCGTTCAGAGTGAAAAGCGAATAGCTCGGAGTCGAGAAGCATGTTACAAGCATGTTCGAGTTGGAATGGGCTTTGGAGGTATTGTTCTGCAAAGCGTAAGAAATCGGTCCAACAATCAAACAGTGTATTTACCATGATACGCCGCACAGAGTGATAACGACCTTTTGAGCGTTGAATCTAATTGCTCCAACGTTGGTATATCATCCTTAGGGATTGCAAGAATATCTTCCAGCTCTGTTTGAAGGACAAAGAATATTGTGTTGGTGAGTAAAGTAGCTTTCATCTGAAAGGCTTTCGAGACTGACACACCGGACCAGAATTGCTGAGCGTTTTCCACCAGATAGACGATACCTAGATCATCCTCCATTGTGATTGCAGGCATGGCAAATCCGAACTGAGATGTAAGTTCTTTGGATGGTCTATGTGGAACCCGACGCAACGCAAGGGAGAATATACAGGTCGGTGAAATCGGAAGAGATGGTTGAAGTCAAAAACCAAGAGCCATGTATCACTGTATGTAGCTTGTAGGAACTTCCAGTATCTTGGCACCGGCATCTATCAATTTCTGAACGTTTGGTTTTTATCGGCGCTATAGCCAAGTGGTTACGGCGACAGATTAGAATCTAGCGCAAATAAACTGGTATCTGTTCCTCTTTGAGGGCGCAGGTTCGAATCCTGCTGGCGTCGTTCTTTGTCCTTGAAGTTATTTTTTTTTAGTACAACAAAGTAATACAATCATCCATGGTAAAGACTAGTACGTTGGACACAACAAACAATGCGCATAGAATAGAGTATCCTAATAACCACCTAGAATCCCGTGCAACTTTTAGTCCTGTTCTTGGTTACTCAGACCCAATACGTTTGAATCTCGTAACGGGCTATCGCCGCCCATTCCTCGACTCATCCGAATGGTCCTACCACCCACCCCAGTAATCCCACTTAACATCGAGCCCCCGTTCAAGCTCCCTTGCTCAAGCTCCACATTCGAAACACCATATTGCCTAGGTGGAATGATGATGGGCTCAATGTATACACTTTCCCTGGTGTAAGAGCTTGTTGTCGGCGAAGGCGTATATCTCTTGGGGGCCTTTCCGATACTCTTGATTCGGGGTGCAGAGCGAGAACGACGCCGGCTTGTAGGCGATGCAAGATCTGGGCGTGGTACAGGGCTCGATAGCTTCCTTCGCATAGCACGTTCGATCGTGCCTTCTTCGGTGAACGAATTGATGCTTTCATTGTAACCTCCCGACTCGGGGCGTTTGACCCAAGGAAGTTCAAAGCCTTCCATGCCTTTTCCTTTATCATGATTATCCGGGCTCCTGACGGAGCTCGATTGAACTAGAGATAATTCGGAAGGCATTATGCTAGCCCTGTTCTTAAAAACAGAAGACCTTTTCTCCAAATCGTATTTGAACGGATCCTCCGTTTGTCCAGTGGTCGGAGTGGTGAAGTGGGAGTACGATGATGGTCGAGAAGGTTCTAAAGGACCAGTGAAGAGCGAGTCTTTCGTAGTAGGGGCGGTGGAAAGCGCTATACTCATCTGGTGTGCGTGTTCTGTGGTCCCTAATGGTGTAGGGAGCTTCACACCAGTCTGAGTGTCTTCATCACCGAAGGGGTCTATCGAAGTAGGTGCTAAAACAAGGGAAGCTCTGGGAGCAAGTTTCCGGCGAGAGGAATTTCTGGCGGATAGTGCGACTCCCTGGTTTTCCTCCGCCGACAAGTCGGGAGATCCAGGTATAACATACAGTGAGTCTTGCAAAGCCTTTTCAGAAGAGCCATTTGCTCTGCCCGGTATTCCAGTGAAAGGCGAAGGCAATGCCTTCACAGCATTGTGGCTCATCCAATTGACTGAGTCTCTGAATCCAGAATTTGTACTAAAGCTAGAGACGTCTCTGGTATGAGCAAAGACATTGTGGACGACGATTGGTTCTGGTTCTGGTATTGAATCAGGTTGAGGTGTATCGGCGGGCCGAGAAAAAGAATCAAAAGTAGGCCCTTGATATGGTTTTGGCATCTCTGGTATGGAATTATCGCGTGTGTGACGGGTCATTGTTGAATTCGCATAATACGAAGATCTCCGCGAGGGTGCGATTGAAACCCACTCGGAATCTGGACGAGTTTTAATGCTCTCGACGAGCTCAGTCGGACTGGGCAAATCCAAGGCGGAAAACCGCATTTCCAACGTCGGAGCTTGACCTGATTCAAAATGAACAGTGACCCGCTCCCCGGGGAGTAGATTGCGAGCAGGGGAATCCTTTTCCCGCCGGTTACCATCGAATGCAGCTTGAATCGCACTAGGTGAAAGTTGACGGAAAGAAGAGAGGCGAGGATTCGAAATGAGAGGTCGGAGACGGGAACCGCGAAAAGAGCGTTGGCGTTTTCCGGCGATGATTTCTTCGCGCACCATTTCGAAATCTTCTGATACGTCGAGGCTGCAGAGACGAGGTGGTTTGGGTGAGTGATGTTATAATATATATGTGAAACGCACCCTTTGAATAATCCTATAATCAGCGATGCCCTCCCAAGTAACCGCACGATTCGTCTCGCTAACACCAGCCCAAATTGCGGTGTCACATATCCAATCACAGTTTCTACTGCCCCCAATTTGATCCCCAAAGTGATCCAGCCAGTTCCCCTGAACAACAACGCCGCATCGCTATTAGACGACTCTATTCGTTGCTGCTCCATGAACGCCTTGGCTAGTCGAGCAAATGCAAATAGAAAGTTGAAAACTTGATAAGCAGTAATGAAACCGAGATCGAGATCTGTGAACAATGTCCACAGCGTCTTGTTCTGCGAATTACTGAATCCGACAGCAACTGTTGTACCAATGACTAGAGAAGTGCGCGAGACTGTGGTGAGAATCGAGTATATGGAGAAGTGAAAGTGCTCACTTCGATGGGTGATACCAATAAAAGAAGCCACTTCGTTGAACACGATAACGAGGGGGATGAGAATGAGTAGCAAAAATTTTCCAAACTTCTGCAGCCATTGAGGAAGACCAACCAAGAATTCGGAGCAGGTAAGGAAACATAAGAACATGATATACAGAAGTAAGGGGAAAGAAGACAATGCGCCTAGATAAATATATATGAGCGTCGTGAGGAAACAATCCTGGGGGCACCGAGCTCACCGAGGACGATATCGACAGCCCTAAAAACCGCTAGATCATCCCGCACAGCGGGAACGATGTGTGACAGCAATTCAAGCAAAGCCAGTGCAAAATAGACCCAGCCTTCAAATGTTAGGAAAAGATGCTTCCTATGGTTGACGAGAAAACTGGATGAGCCGCCGTCATCGGTCATATTACACAGTGCAAGACTCACCGACTATTGCCCCGCGTCTTGAATAGTAAAGATGAGGCGAACAAAAACTCCACTGCAGTAGGGATGAACAAGGCGATACTCTCGATTTCGGTCAAAGATTCGCAACGGAGAATCAAGGCTTGGGATAGACAGAGGGTTCCCATCTAAATGCTAACGTATTGCGTATCTTCAGGTGACAATTCAGAGCATTTCAGGGAGACCTGTCCAGCTATAGTGGAAGACGGAGACCCGTATCAGAGCTGGAACAAATGAAGGCGAAGTGAAAAGAATGGACTGGCAGACTTGCTGCCACGCACGACCTGGAGCGAAAACGAAGAACGAAAGGAAAGAAAGAAAGAGATAATCAATTGACAGTTGTAAGAATCAAATGTGAGAAAGGAGTTATAGGACATGTATGGTAACCATACACATTTGACTGGTCGCAACCGTCACATCTCCATCAGAAATGCCAATGATGTGTGACAAAACTCATCGCGCTGGGTGGATAAGGTGGGCACTGGGATACGAAGATTTTGTGTGACCAAGATGATATCGTTGACGGTTGGTCTGACCAGCCTCAATCTTGAATAATCACAAATGTGTAAGGTGGGATCCGAAGATCTTGTGAGACCAGAACTTTTTGTTCTGACCAACGTATGCGAATGATCAGAGATGTCCAAGGCAATGAGATGACTCTGACATCGACAAGACATGGTTGGAAAGGAAATACTGTTGAGAACAATTTCTGGAAGTCAAAGTGAACTAGCAGGATAATCAAGCTAATGATATGGCAGATCGTCATGATAGTATAGGACGGTGCGAGATAGAGACTCAGCTAGCGGTAAAGCCTGTTCAATGAAGAAAGCAATTCAACTCTGTTCTGCCAAAACAACTTTCTTGCGCTCTGGTTTAGGTTTGCTCTCTCCAGCACGCGTATGTTTCCTTCTTCGCTCCTCCTTAACCCTTCTTGATTCGAGCATCGTATGCTTAAGCTTGTGAGCAGCATACACAGGTTTTGGCAGATGGCGAGTTCTAACAGATGGACGTTATAATAGATGATTTCACAGATTGGATGGAACTCACCGTGCAACCTTTCCGACTTCTTTGTCCATTTTCCACCGATTGACAAGACTACTTCTGTACTCAAGCGCCGCTCTTTCTCTTGCAGTGACAATTCCAAGCCTCTCAGAAGCTTTTCCTTTCCAGATACGCACATTTCCGTCATCTGAGCCCGACAGGACGAAGCGGGCATCTGTAGTAAACAGAGTGGATGTCACCCTGTACAGGCGACGATCAGTTGAAGCTCGTTACAATCAATCTCAGTTGACAGACCTTTGCATTCGTTTGGTATGATACACTTCCGGCGAATGTCCTTGATCTGTTTGCCATATTCTAACCGTACGATCCCATCCTCCGGAAACGAATTCTGTGCCTGTAGGTGACCAGTCACAGCTCATCACAGCAGCTACATGTCCTTTGTAGATCAAGCTCGGCGCACCGAGCCGTCGAATATCGAAAGTGTAAAGATTGTGATCTTCAGAAGCTAGCAGAATGTTTGTGGGAAATGTAGGTGACCACGAAAGAGCGTTGGCACGCATTTGCATGACCACCCGACGCTCTGCTTTCCCAGTCCGGATATCATATAGCGTGAATGTACGGTCAGAGCCAACGGAGGCAAGAATAGATGCTTCGCTGAGATTGAAGCGTACTGAGGAAATGGTTTCGGTGGAAGTAGGAAAAGTGAGGTTGGAGATGGGGGCACTTCTGTGAAAGGGATTAGTCATTGTGAGCTAGAGAAAGGATGATACGCACTTATTTTCGTCCCATACTTGTACGAGGGTTGAGGCGGTGGCAAAAAGCGATGACGATCGCTGGTGATCTATTGAACTGAAAATAGTTGGTGAAGATCCAGAGAGGGGGAGGTGCAGCACCTACTTGAATGCAAATTTTCCAGGAAAGACGTTGATGGGTTCGTCCTACAATTCGACAGTTCTTTAAACATTTTGCGAGCATATCATGAATCCACCACGTACTGAGTCTAACCTCCACAATTTCACGTTACGATCAACACCGCAACTAAGGAGTCTGGAGTCTTCAGCAAAACACAGGCCTGTGACTTTCCCTTTATGTGCCTGCGGTAGTCGTGCTATATGGGTTCTCTGGGACAGATTGTGCACTATGACACCTGGTAAAGGTGGCGATCAGAGCGATTCTCAATTGTAAATAGGGAACTCTGTTCATACCACCATCCCAACTACCACTTGCTACCGTTGAAATTGAGTCTCCTTGCTTCGCAAGCACTTCGACAGCATCGATATGGCCTTCCAGTGCGCCTACAAATGGTTTTGCAAACATTCTATCCATCTTTGCGGCATTCAAGGC